TCCTTTGAGTTGTTGTCATATCTGCACAAAATGTTTCCCTTCCATACACCAATGCCCATTTTTCTCTAATTTCAAACATACGTTTTAACCAATCATTGTCTTCAAGACCATACTTCTTCAACATAGCATTCCATTCATATATAAAGTCTTCTTCTTCATCAAAATCATATACACATCTACTGAAATCATTCGCAAATTGTTTAAACTTTTCGAACACATGACTGAGATGAATAGCTGCATTTTGAAATATATACCACATGCAAAGACGGTGACGTGTTTCAGACCATGTAGAAATTAGTCTTTTAGCCATTGCTGCGTTCTGATCCGTAAGTATAGTGTTTGGTTTTTTTCCTGACATGGCTCTCGTAAAAGTGTCAAACAATCATTCAAAAGTTGAAGTAGTTTCATCATTTAATAAAGCAGCCCCAAATATTGCAGTCTATTTATGATTATTCACTCCAACAAATAAAACAAATGGACGGCCTTCATTATTCTTTCTGTACGTCGTGTCAAAACAAACAACATCTCCAAAACTTGCATAATCTACCCTCATTAATCCGTCAGTCCAAAAAATATTTGTAATCAAAGCATCCTGATCCACTTGAATTGCATAGAAGAAATTAGGATCCTCTAATTGCATTTTTTGCAAATATTCAAGTACGCTTCCTGTATCTCCAACATCCATTTGTATTGTCCGTTTAGAACGTAAATAATTCCTGTAATCCTCAGGAATGAAACCTAAGTTCTCCCGTTCTCCTACTTGTAGTGCCATAAGTTCATGAGAAACTTTTGGTGTTATACCCACATGGTGTGCCATATCAATTTCAGCTGCATGAATAGAATTTATCTTTCTATGTGATCTGTGTAAATGACTTTTGTTGGAACTTAAAAGATAGTGATTATGCTCAATGATCAACTGACATATATGAAACTTACTAGTTTGTCTACTATTAACCTTCATCTTTGCCGAACAATTAAATCGTGTTTCAGGACGAGGGGCTCTTACATTGAGATCTTTTTTATCCTTTCCTCGTTTCCTTCAGCACTACAACAAAATACCCTATCCATGAGCCTACCATTGCTATCTTTGTGGAAGCTACTTCTTTTGATTCCAAAACCAACTTCCTTTACATACGCTAAGTAAAAATTACAAGCATCTTCTTCATTCTCAAATTCCATGCCCATCTTCGGAAGTAGTTCAGGAGGAATCGATGCATGAATTTTGTTTACATCTTTTATCACATTTAAAACTGGTGGAGTGGAAACCTCATCATTGGTAATTTGATCTACCTTGTCAAAATCCAATCTGCGATAGGATGATACCTCAGTTTCCATAGAAGTCGTAGCATCCATATCCTGCAAACTTTCACACAAAGTTAATTGCAATACAATAAGTTTCATTGAATGATTATTTAAGTAAATATTTTTTCAATATCAAAAGTATTCGTTCATAGTAAATTATTTGTAAACAATAAACAATAATTCATGCTAAATCAATAACAATAAAAACAAAAGTAAAAAAATAGTGCACATAAAAACGAGAAAAATGCCTGAACAAATATTTGCTTCATCATAAACTTATAGTGCTAGTTTTAAGTTTTAGGCATAGAAACATGAAAATAGTATTCAATCCGATCAACCAGAAAAAGTTTAAGACAATCCCAAGTAAAGCCCTTACACTGGACAAAGAATGAAGTTAAAATCAAGGAAACCAAACAGTTCTACATTTTCTTTCTTGTAACAACAATCCATTACCAAACAAAAATGCAGATAAATAGGATCACCACAAATCCTTATCTGCCCTACAAACAAAACCACAAATTTAGTCCTTCGATTATGAACAACAAAAAAATGACCCAAGAAAACATTTTTCAATCTGTTAAGATCAATTAATCATACAAAAACTGCAAATAAACCGAGCATATTGTGCACTAATAATTCATAAAAGCTAAAGGTTATACCGTGACAGGCCTTTCAGGCAACTGCATACAAAAGGAGCATTTAATGCTCTGACTAAGAAGAGCCAAAGCCTCGTTCACAAGTTGTATTTAATTTATGTTGTAAAATTGTTGACTCATATTTTTCATGCTTGCATTAGATGATCTCAATTTCTATGAACTTGGGATCCGACAATGAAAAAGTTGTTCAAACATATTTGGGATCCAACAAAATCTGTACTACACATGTCGTGTTTGAAGGACTACACATGTAGATCTTTAAACCCTTGTTTTCTTTGTTCCCTATGATGACAATTCTAATGTCTATCAAAGAATCAGCAGTGTGAAATTTGAACTACAATTTTTTATACCCTTCCTGTGTGAAACCGTATATTGTACACCTCCCAGGAGTAGCTACGAGTAATACAAATTATGGTAAAACAGCGTTCCAAACTTATTTCCACAAAAAAAAAACTTTAATCCACAGATGGTGGCGAGATGAATGGAAACTCACATATGAAAACTACGAGGACAAAACATAGTAGTGTTTTTTGATATGATTACGAATAACCCATAAATTAATGGTGTGATGAACACAAAATAGTGCACATAAATTACGTAGAATTGTTGATGTTTGCTCCGGCAACCGTTCTTGACAACAATATGGTGTAGAATCTCGTTTAGGGTTTGGAGGCAATTTTGTTTAGGGTTTTCCGTGGTTAACTCAAAAGTATTGGTATATGAATTAGACCAGTCGGTTAATTTTGGTTCAAAGGTTTAGAGGGTAGAGAAAACTTGTGTTAAACCAAATCAATTTGAATTATTAGAAAATTAAAGTGCAAATAATAATAGGACACTTGGCGCAATATTAGAGGTGGCATTGGATTGACATAGAAAATATGTCACCGAGAATCCCAAGTGGGATAAAGGGGGAAAAAGAAATAGATTTATATATATATACACACACATTTACACACACTTATATATTACTAGTGAGACGGCCTGCGCATTGCGCAGGAGTGCTAATATTTTCCGTGTTAAGTTGCTTAATTTTTAGCCGTTATATATTACTTATAATGTAGAGAGTTATATAATTATTATAAGTTTGGCTTAAATTATAAAATAATAGTGCGGTAAATTGGTTGGGTGAATATAGTGTTAATAGTTTGCGAAGTATGGAGGATACTTTGTAATATAATGGTTAATAAAGTACTATAATTGAGACAATGCAGTGTCGACATTTTGTGTGGTATGATTTGTACAAATTATGTGGTTTGGGTGAGGTAATTATAAAGATACACGTTTATATTTATGTATATCTCTATTACTCACTAAGTTCCATAAATATGAGCCTATTTCCTTTTTTTTTGCACAAATTAAAACATTTAATCAATATAATCACAACAATTATTTTTCTTTCATATTTTTGTAAAATGCCGTTCACTAATATTAGATCATTAATCTATATTAAGAGCCATGTATTATTAAATTTATTTGAAATTTAAAGTACTTTAATTTTTTTAATGTAAGAAACAATCTAAATAATGTTTAGTGTTCTGTAAATACACAATTATTGAGGAAATAATTAATAAATTATTATTGCCTTTAGTGACTTTAAAAAATGGATTTTATTACTGCGACATGAAATAAAATTGTTTGGAAAAAAATGAATGCATATATTGCAAAAAAATGAAATAAAATAGTGCTATGTAAAATTGTTGAATGCAGTGATTGTTTAGCATGTTTAGCAGTAGCTTTTGACTACATGATTCCCAAAAATTGAACAGCAGTAAAAAAAAAAAAAGAAAAGAAGTCCAACATTGTTATCACAATTAACCAAAATCGGTTAAGGTGTCACGGACTAAAAATGGTTTCTAATCCTACTACTTTTTAAAACATGCAATTATGAAGATATATTAGTCTATATATCCATATTACTCTATATTATTATTACAAATTTTTAATGCCCTTGTTTTTATTCTTATTTTTCGTTCTATAAAAAAGAATAATTAGTATGTTATTTACTAATAGTCCGGGCATCCAATAACAATTGCAGGATAACCGCTTTACAAAAAAACATTGTTCATGGGGCAACTCTCACTTTTATATTGTTAGATAAATATCCATATTTAATACAACTTGCCACACTTTCTTTTCAACTCCTGGTATTGTTTTATTACTTTGTTACAGAATAAATCCATTTTATCCTTTATAATAAAGGCAAAAAATAAAAAATAAAAAGAAGAAGAAAGAACTAACAATGCAACACCGTAAAGGGCATCAAGCTTTATATATGGCACATATATGCTTCTTAAAAAATGCCACTGGAGGGAGAGGGGAAAGAATTCTAGCGTCTGAACACTGGAGCAAGAGGGCAAGCCCAAACAAATGCCTATGAAATGCCACTGAAATTGTCGAAATTTACAGCATTACCAGTCTATCTGCCTATGAAAATGCCACCGAAGTTGCTCAAAATTACCGGATAACCGGTCCATGACCACTGTAGCAACTCCAACTCGCACTTTTAGTATAGTGAGGATATATCTAAAAAATGCCACTGGAGGGAGAGGGGAAAGAATTCTAGCGTCTGAACACTGGAGCAAGAGGGCAAGCCCAAACAAATGCCTATGAAATGCCACTGGAATTGTCGAAATTTATAGCATTACCAGTCTATTTGCCTATGAAAATGCCACTGAAGTTGCTCAAAATTACTGGATAACCGGTCCATGACCACTGTAGCAACTCCAACTCGCACTTTTAGTATAGTGAGGATATATATAGATGTGAGAAATGCCCGCAAGTTTTTTAATCCATTTTTTAAAATATATCTTTAGAGATCAAGATCTAATGGTTCAAAGAATATCAAGTGTTGGGAGTGGGACAATAAACTTTAAGTATGGGGACAAACTGATAAAATTATGGATATACATTATAAATTTCAGTGGGGTCAATAGCTCCCACTGCCTCCAACTATCTTCGGATCTAGAGCTAGGCTATATAAATGTCTACAGAAGAACCGAGCAACAATCAAGTATACTCAATGCAAATCCTAAAGCCACCAATATGTCGACATCTCCATCCTCCTCCTCAGCTCCTTTATCAGAAGATTCAGAACTACAGGAACTAATGGAACAGCAGCGCAAGAACCTGCTTTCTACTCTCCCCAGACAGAGATGGCAAGGTTCTTACCTGTACAAGTACAATGGCTTTTGGTTCAGCACTATGCAGATGCCAGGGCTCGTTGAATTCCGAAAGCACTTCCAGGCTCGAGACAGTGATGTCCTAATTATCACCACTCCCAAGTCGGGCACCACATGGCTGAAGGCCCTCGCATTTGCCTTGATGAACCGAAATATTTGTCCCATCAACCAGAACCACCCTTTGCTCAACCAAAATCCTCATACTCTTGTGCTACACTTGGAATATCCTAACCCTTATGATAAACAGCACCCTGATTATTCTTTCCAAGGATCAAGAAGACTGCTTGGAACCCACTGCCCGCTTGCGCTACTGCCCGAGTCAGTGATGAACTCGGGTTGCAAGATTGTCTATCTAAGCAGAAACATTAAGGATATTTTTGTCTCGTATTGGCACTTCACTAATAAGTTGGGGAGTACTGAAACCTCTTTCGAGGAATTTTTTGACCTGTTTTGTAAGGGAGTGAGCTTATCTGGACCTATTTGGGATCATGTTTTAGGTTACTGGAAAGCAAGCTTGGACAAGCCCCAAAAGGTACTTTTTCTTAAGTATGAAGAAATGACACAAGAACCAGCTTTTAACCTGAAACATCTTGTCGAGTTCTTGGGTTGTCCAATTTCTCAAGAGGAAGAGACAGCAGGAGTGGTTGATGAGATTTTAGGGCTTTGTAGCTTTGATCACATGAGGAATTTGGAGGTGAACAAGAGCGGGACCATGTGGAATCATAGCAATCAGGTATTTTTTCGTAATGGTAAGGTTGGAGATTGGAAAAATGATCTTCCAAGTGAGATGGCAGAACGGCTTGACCAGATCACTGCACAAAAATTCCTTGGATCCGGATTGGATCTATAAGTCATATTTGCTTTAGTCTAGAAGTTTTTATTTATTTATTTACTAATTTTATTAGCGTCAATTTTTTAGTGGTTGTATTGTTTTGAAGTTCGTGTTTTATTTAGTAATTTCGTATGCAAGTGATCTCTTATTTTATAAGTCTTTGTAAGTTTTTAAATAGAGTATTAGCTGAAGTATTTTATTAGAAGTGTAAATTACTAGCTCTTTTGTCAATTTCAAATGTTATGAGTGATGAGTGTGTTTGAATTGCACATTATTTACACTTTATTTATATACATTAAATTACTTGCATTATCAGCACATTTTTCAATGCCTTTTTATCTCCAATCCAAACACGCCCGTGACGCAGGAAGAAAAAGAAAGGGCATTCTAGTCTGCATAGGAGTATGTTTTGTCCTAAACGTTCTTTGTTGAGATTGATTAGATTCTCACTTCAAAGAAGAAGCAGAGCAAAAAATTAGATAATCTAAAGCCCACTCCCAAGAAGACAGCTAGAGATTCGGATCATGATAAAATGATGACAAAAAAGAATAATACTAGTAAAAGGAATGCAAACAAGAATGGTCCTGGACAGGAAAATGGAAGGAGTGACGCACCACCATCAGCAGGAGGAGCTGGGCGGAGGCCGGGAAAGAGGACTGGAGATGGTCCAGTTACATATAGCGAAAAGGATTTGGCGGTAGGGAAGGCGGCTACTGAAGGTTACTCCTTTGTGCCCCTTTGATTGTGACTGTTGCTTTTGAAAGCAAGGCATCATCCACGAGAGTTTTTCTTTTCTTTCTTTCTTTATTTGATTTTTTCTATATTTTGATTTACTAATTGTTGTGGTTTTAGATATTTTGATGATGAAAAATTGTGGGCTAACTAAGCTAGGACCTCTCTCCATATGTTGTAATACTAGTAAGGTTTGGCTGTGCAACACAGCCAATGCCTATCTTGAAGTGTTTTAAGGGTAGCAAAATTTGAAGGAATGTTTTTGAATTGAGTGTCATGTGTAAATATATACGTAAAATATGTACATTACTAAAATGGAAAGAAATTGGATTATTAGCATTTAAACTTGTACAGATGAACTTACTTTGCCACTTAATATATTATACGATTTTTCTTGTCAATTTTATTTTAATTCATTAATAAATTATATTTAGCAGCATTTTAAAATATTCAGTACCATTTAAACTTGTATAAACCAACTGAAATTACTACCAAACATAATATGCACTTTTCCTATCAATTTTATTTTAATTCATTTATGAAGGCAATGAGACAAGAACAACAGTGCATGATCTATACACTGAACTTTTGAAATTTTGGTCTTGGACTTGCATGTTACAGTTTGCTGATATTGATTGACATAAAAATCTATTATTACATCCTTTATCAGTTGAGTGAGGAATTATACTAACTTGTCTAATTGATTTTTTTCTTTGTTTTGATTGTCAAAATTTAGTTGATAATGAAATAGACATTCAATTAGCTTAGCTATCCATTAAAGAAATAAGCAAGCATCTTTAACATAAACAATCTAAAAATGTCACAAAAGCAGAAAAACAAATCTAAATAGACTAAATAGTTTCAAAGTTCATTGCTAAAGTTTACAATCATAAGTCACACAGTATATATAATTCAATAGTAAGTAGCTACTAGTAGTTTACTTGTGAAACTTGTAAATATCAAGTAATCTTAATCAACATTTTATCAAACATTAGGCAGGCTAGTTATGAGTAATGTGACTAACTTGAAGTAAAGTGATGGACAAAGCAAAAGTCTTGAATGTTGAAGGCAACGCTGCAAAATCAAAACACAAAACATGTAAAAGAAACTATATCTTACTACAATAAGACGTAAATGCATAGATATGGTGAAAAAAAAGCTAAGAAAAATTGTATTACCAAATGATGAGAAAGCAAGAACGTTTTCTTTTTGCTATGCGAGAACGAAAAGCAAATAAAACAGAATAACAGTTGGTAATGTATGTAGTAGTGTGCACTGTACTATTCAAGATTTGTTTGTTGATAATAATTTCATCTAAAAAGATAATCTATGAAAGCTGAACTAGTGTAGTACTTTGTATTTCAATCTAATGGTTATGAAAAGATGAAGTGCAATTGATAATTTATCAAAAGGTTGGCATTTTTGTGAAGGACAACCTAACTCTAAGGAACAAAGTAATTGCCTCATTTGATTAGGTAATTGTCAAAAAGTGGAGTGTGAAGAATGTTTGCATTGTTTGACTTATTACAAGCAAACGAGAGGAAAAACAGGAGAGTCAAATAATCTGTAAGCTGCCTTGTTGAATAATCTAATAATGCAATGGCTTAGAAAAATGTTTTTCGCTCCAAATTAGATAGAATTTATAATAAATAAGATTTATTGAATAATCTAATAATCTGATGGCAAAAAAAATAGTGACAAAAATATATGCAAATCTAACGGCTACCATTAAAACAAAAAAAAGAGAGAGAAGTGCATTTTAATGAAATATAATAAAGATATATATATATTTGTTATTTAGACGTTAACGCATTCCTTTGATTAACATAGGAAAAGAATTTATGGTAATAAAAAGCAAATATTAACGTATAAATCAATTAAAATAAAATTGATCACAAAAATATATAATATCTTAAGTGGCAATGTCAGTTCATTTCTATAACGTTAAATGCTAATAGAAATACAAAAAAACATAAAGTCAAAAGTTATCAAATATTTTAGAAAAATTCCTCATTTTCATTATATTATACATTTAAAAAATGTCAAATTGCTTGAACAACCAATGGAACTTAAATTATTTTTAGCAAAAAATGAGTTAAAACAGCGTGATTAAAAAATTAAAACTTATTTATTTGAAAGCATCACGCAGTCAAACATTAACAATTTGCTTTTATATGCTTATGAGAAGCTCTGGGTGCTACTTGTACCTTATATGTATAAAAATAAAATAAATAAACATGTTTCTTCTCACCAAAAATCTACATTAACCTCTCGGAAAACATCTCAAAAGCACATTAAAGATCCAAAAATACCCCAATCATGCTCTCGCCTTTCACCATCATCCTATCACATCTCCCTTTGGTACCCCATGTGAAGTTAATTTTTTTTTTTTGGCCAAAAACGATATATCTATTCCTACACTATACTGCGGGGCCGGGGAGGGAGGGTGACCCAACAGAGCCAAGAAGGAAATTTGGAGGAACTGAACTACCATCAGGTCAAGAGATTCGATCCCTTGATCTACATTCAAATAGAATTTTAAAAATCTCTTGATGATCAACTGTTGTAGTTGATTACCCCATGTGAAGTCGTATTCCGTTTCAGAAATGCTACCACACAGCCAGGGGCGGAGGGAAGGGGGGGCCAGGCCCCCCCTCCAATTGTTAAAAAAAAAATTTCTAAGTAAAACAATTTTTATTATATTATTTTGCCCCCCCCAAATATTGATAAAAATTTTCACTTTGCCCCCCTCCAATTGTTATAAAAAAATTTCTAAGTAAAAAAAATTTTTCTTATATTGTTTTGCCCCCCCAAAATATTGATAAAAAATTTCACTTTGCCCCCTCCTAAGGACCCAAATAATAATGTTTGAAAGTTATTTGGACTTTATCCAAATAACAGAGACTCGCTCCCCTAATTGCAATTCCTAGCTCCGCCACTACACAGCGGGACGTGAGAGAAATAATTCACAAATTTTACAACAACCGCGTGTCTGCGACTCCTTCTACAAAAGATCTTTTTAATGTCACGAGTCAGCAGGGCCAGTAGCTGTACATTAGACTATTGGAGTATCAACACACGGAGCATTTTTTTTTTCCTTTTTTGTTCCATTTTCAGTTGTTTCGTATTTATTTTGAGTGTGGAGTTGTTTAATAATTAATTAATTCATAATCATTGGGCCCGTCAGTAATCGAGAAAGGACTCTTTGAGTCTTTTAAGTGCGGTGTTGTTTAATAATTAATTAATAAATAATCATTGGGACTGATCAATAGTCAAAATGAACTCTTATAGCTAGTTTGTGAGTTGAGGATAGAAAAGAAAAGAAGAGAAATGATAAGTTATGTGAGAAAAGAAAGGATAAAAAAAAAATTTGTAAGCTTCCATCAGTTTTCCTTCGCTTTCCGCCCGTTTTGGTCAGCAAATTTTTGCACTGTAGCAGCACTTGGCTTCTCTTCAAGATCCGTTCGTTTCTTTTTTTTTCCGTCTCACTAAAATCTCCCAAACGTGAAAAGTTCACCTTTCCCTTCCTTTTTTTTCTATTCCTTTGAAATCTGAACTCCCAAACTAGCTATTAGTGTTTTTGCTCACCATCAGGTTTACGGTTCGAAACCTGTACCACCAATTGAGGGTGGGAAGAATGGGAGGTGTGGACATCTTAGCCTGTCTGGGCTTGGTCAATCCCATCCATGCCCTTTCTACAAGAGATACCTCGTCTTGGACATTCTCAGTCGAATTGATTAGCGAAATCACTTTGAAGAGAAGTTTCACCTCGTCACCTCCTCTGCCCAAGACAACCGACATCTCAGTTGTCTGGGTGACTTGTGATTGATGGAGTGATGTGACTGCTAGTCACCATACTGCTCAGATCTATAACTGGCACCGCCGCCTTAAGTGACCTCATGATGGCTAACAGTGGGTAGATCTCATCATTCTATCCATAGATTCATCTATTATAAATACCCATCTACCACTTCCAAATGAGATATGGAATCTAATCCGTACATTCAACTTCCGAACTACCTCTGACTTCAGCATCGGAATGAGACTAGGGGACAGAGCCCCGGTCACTTAAAATTTTACAGGTGATATCGTTTTTTGGTGTGACCTTGACTCGTTCACCAAGAATTCACCTCTTCCGAGGAAGAGTAGGAGGGTAAAAGGTTAAAAAACACGGATTTCCTTGATGTCTGTAGACGATCTGCTCTATTTTGTGGTTCAATCATTCCATTGATTTGAAGCACCACGAGCTCAAAATACGTTGTTGTGCACTAGGAAAGTTGGCGAGTCTGCGATGTAGATTTTAGAATTAGCTCAGTATACGTTGTCGTGCACTAACAAAGTTGGCGAGTTTGTGATGTAGATTTTGGAGTTAGGTAGGGGTAGAGTTAGAAACTTAATTCAGTGGGGCAAATTTAGGGTGATAATTAACACAACTTTTCCTCAATCCTAAATTAATAGTAAATCATCAAAATTAACCTTCACCTAATTTTTTTTGAATGATCTTTTCCATGATCATTATCATCAACTTCAACATTAAATCGTTCTTCAATCATAATCTTCCTTTTGTAATATCTCTTCGTAATTGGTTAAAATTAAACATCGAACTAGATATTAATTCACAAACGAACTATGAAAAAATATATATAATTTCATCACATAAACCATCAAATGCAAGCGCGAACTACAAATTATAAATGATTTAAAAATTTCTTCCCAAAAACTACCCTATAAAACTATAACCTAACCATATGTTTGTGAATAAAAATCAGCAATTTACAAAATTTTATTGAAGATATAACCAAGTAAATTTCTAAATAGTAGAAAGAATTCTTGCTTGGAGATTTGGAGTGCTAATTGGGAAACAATAATAATATTCTTACTAATCAATCCTTTTTTGGGTTTCTCCATTTCTTCTCTAAAATCTCAACAAAGGTTTATTTCCTCAAATAGCTATAAAGTATTTTGTCACTTCTAATCTCGCGAGTCCCTAATAAGTTTTCTCTATCTTTAATGGTAAAATAATAAATAATAAAGTTGTGTCTTGATTGGTTTTAATCCAAGTGTAAAAGGTAAAACTAATTATCTTTTTATTGACAAGTGTGTTGATTTAGTAAGGAAAAATTGGCAAAAAAATAACATTAAAAAAATATTGGTTCAAGTGCATTGGTATGTCATTGGTGAATTTTTTACTTGTAAGTTAAGTTAATTAAGAAGGATTAATTTGTATAATAGCTGGATAAGAAATTAAAAGACCATAATGCACACACTCATCTATATATATATATATATATATATATATATATATATATATATATACATATATATATATATATACATATATTGTGTGAGACATGCCCACAAGTTTATAATCCAGTTTATGAATACATCTTTAGAGATCAAGGTCTAACCATTCAAAGACTATTAACTGTTGGTAATGAGATAATAAACTTTAAATACGGGGATAAACTTATAAAATTATGCATATGCATTATAAAGTTCAGTGGGGTCAATAGCTCCTACTGCCCCTACACTATGTCTATAGAAGAACCGAGCGAGGGACTTGAGAGCTGAGCAACAATCAAGTATATTCAATAACAATCCTAAAGGCAACAATATGTCTACAACTCCATCCTCCTTCAAAGTTCCTTTCTCAGAAGATTCAGAAGTAGAGGAACTAATGCAAGACCAGTGCAAGAACCTGTATTCTACTCTCCCCAGAGAGAGATGGCAAGGTTCTTCTTATCTGTACAAGTACAATGGCTTTTGGTTTACTACTAACCAGTTGCCAGGGCTCGTTGAAGTCCAAAAGCACTTCCAGGCTCGAGACAGTGATGTCCTGCTAATCACCACTCCCTCGTAGGGCACCACATGGCTGAAGGCCCTCGCATTCGCCTTGATGAACCGAAATATTCTCCCCATCAACCCAAGCCACCCTTTGCTCAACCAAAGTCCTTATGTTCTTGTGCCACAACTGGAATTTTATGCTCTCTCTCATAATAAACAGGACCCTGAATATTCTTTCTGACAATATTTCCAAGATTCAAGAAGACTGCTTGGAACCCACTGCCCGCTTGCGCTACTGCCTGAGTCAGTGATGAATTCGGGTTGCAAGATTGTCTATATATACAGAAACATTAAGGATGTTATTGTCCCGTATCGGCACTTCACTAATAAGCTGGGGAGTGCTGAGACTTCTTTTGAAGAATTTTTTGACTTGTTTTGTAAGGGAGTGAGCATGTCTGGTCGACTGTTTGGGATCATGTTTTAGATTACTGGAAAGCAAGCTTGGACAAGTCCCGAAAAGAACTTTTTCTGAAGTATGAACAAATGACACAGGAACCTGCATTTTACCTGAAACTTCTTGCCCAGTTCTTGGGTTGTCCAATTTCTCAGGAGGAAGAGACAGCAGGAGCGGTTGATGAGATTTAAGGGCTCTGTAGTTTTGATCACTTGAGAAATTTGGAGGTGAACAAGAGCGGGACCTGGTGGATTCTTAGGAAGCAGGTATTTTTTCGTAATGGTAAGGTTGGAGATTGGAAAAATTATCTTACAAGTGAGACGGCAGAACGGCTAGATCAGATCACTGCACAGAAATTCCATGGATCCGGATTGGATCTATAAGTCATATTTTGCTTTAGGAGCAAAACAAAGATTGAACGTACAATAAATTAAATAACCAATAAAAGGAATAAGAATTGGTTGCTGAAGAACGTCATCTTTGTTGGCAAAACAAACCTGCTCTAGAAGTTTCTATTTATTTATGTTTTACGTAGTTGTGTTATTTAGGAGTTTGTTTTTTATTTAACAATTTTTTGTATGAGTAATTTCTCATTTTAAAAGTCTTTGTAAGTTATAAATAGGGCATTGGTTGAGATAATTTTTTTTTAAAAATGTGTCAGTTGTGGTTTTCTTCCATTAGTTGAAATTTCAATAATAGTATGCATTATTTATTTTCTCCTCTCTCGCGTAAATATTTTAAGTGAGTATTTAATCCTTCAATCAATAACCTTACACGAGTTAAAAATTGAAGTGTTACAATTAGTGTCAATATTTATATTTCTTGAATTGTACACGTGAATGTGTCTTAAGGCACATGAAATGATAAAATAAGAAAGTAATGGATTGAAGATTATTTGAAAAATTTTAAAATTCAATGTAACAAATAAATAAAAATATTAGAAGAAAAAGTGTTTTGAAAACTCTACAAGTTTCTATTCCAAATAACTCTTATCGTAGCAAACCAGGTTAGAACATATATGCTCAATGTCTGCTCAGGCTCTGACTTGTTTCGGTTTAAAAAGTTAAAAATTCACAAATTCTGCAAAACTTGTTGAACCCAAAATACATAGCAAAATTAAACCCAAAATGAGAAGTAGTACTCCCTTACAAAACCTTTGATCGACACTTCCTAATTGAAGGCTTTCCATTGAATTTTTCTCTATTGATCCTTCCATTATCTATATCTAAAATTTTATAACTCCATAACATCATCTGATTGTGTCATTATTTTTCTTTTAATGTCTAAATCAACATACTAAAAAATGATACTCTTTTAAGAATATTTTGATGTTCAATTTATACAAAACTTTTAAATTGTAAAACATGAGTCAAAATTGTAACAAAATTGAAATGATTAATTACAGGGTAAAACTTAGTCAATTTGTTAGTGAAATTTTGTAAAATTGCTAACACAAAATTTTATATATATATCTAACACAAGGGATGAAATATATTATGAATGATGTTGATTTTCAAAATAAATTTACAATTAATTTTATGAGAGTATGATGGAGAGAGATTCTCTCCGATACAATTGAGAGGAGCCTAGTTGTGAATAGTTATGTGTCACCAGTTACCCATCCACTATACATCCTGGCCATAGGTTGGCCAGAGGCCTTAGGCATGTTTCATTCTGTTGTTAGATATCGCCTAATCCCGGAATTTATGCTGCAACTAGGCTTGTCATTCGGGCCATCTGAATCACACTTTAACAACCTCATCCTTGAGTCATATAATTAGTACTACTTTCAGTTTTGGGTTGATAAATATGAAGTTTATACTTGGCTCACAAAATATTCGAGATGTGAACCTAATTCGGATTTAGTTTAAATTCACTTATTACTCTTTAAGTTTCTTAATATAATTACTATAACTATTATGTTCTAAAGCTAATTTAACATCCATAGGATCACAACATTAAAATTATATGTGAACCAATAACAATTCATTAAAAAATATATAAACCAAGAATTTTTCAACAATAATATATCCAATTGGTTCAAAGTACATAGAAAATAGTAATAAAACATAATCAATAATTAATACATCTTCAAAGGTCCTCAATTTGCTCATACTAAACTTTGTTTTGTTGAATATTTTGACATAATTTTGTATATTTAATATTTCTTATATATATTAATATATTTTGACACATAACTCATAAGTATAAAGCATTAGCATTATATATTTAGATATATAATTATATATATATATATATCAAAACATGAATATATTCTATATAATTATATATATATGTGCAAATTAAAGGGTCGGGCTTATATTGGGTTGGAGCTTAATAAGGCCCCAATTCAACTCATATTTAATTCAAACCTAATATTTAAGCCCAATATTAGCTCAAGTCAATAAAAGATTAGACTTAGGGATGGCATGGGGGCGGACACCCGCAGGGGTACAAATGGGGCGGGGAATGGGACGGGGTGGGGGCGGGGGCAAAATATTTACCCCCGCCTTCAAAACGGGGCGGGGGATGGAGCAACATACACCCGCCCCATCCCCCGCCCCGTCCCCCACCCCGTCCCTCGCATAAAAAAAAAAAATATATATATATATATACACACACAAAAGTAACAAAACCCTAACTGTTCAAGGTATTTTTTGTTAGTGTTTGAGAATTCTTCCTCTCTCCTGTTAGTTCTCAAAATTGCTTGGACATACGAGGAGAGTTTTGCTTTTCGTATAGGCTTGCTTCTGATTTTTTTTGCTTCATGTACTAGGCTTTTGTGTGCATAAATTTTTGAGTTGTTCAATCCTTTTAGATAGCCCTGGATATAACTTATTATGGTGGGAGTTATCTTTAGCTAATTAGTTCAGGAGACCTGTGAATGCTATTACTTAATGGGAAAAGCTCTATGTTGTTGTAAACTATGTTGTGGCTTTGGATATGAATCTCTGGCATCTTATGTACTAATACTCGTTTTACGACAATTAAATGGTTTAATATTTTAGTATTATATAAAAAAAATATGGCCATGGATATATGTATAATGCTAAAATAACTCAAAATGATATATTTTGGTCAGGAGATGGGCTGGTAACTGAAAATTCAGATATACATAGAGGGGCAATCAAGTGCAACCTAATAAAAAATTCAGTGAATTATTGTAAATGAACATTTTATGATAAGTTGATTTCTTTTATCGCGGGGGACCGTGGGGAAAATGGGACGGGGGTGGGGCGGGGGGTGAGGGGCAAGGGGCGGGGAATGGGGAAAGGAACCCCCGCCCTATTGCCATCCCTAATTCAACTCATGGACTTTTTCTCGGACTAAACAAGCCAAACTTGAGTTGGTCTAACCTCATTGACAGTTCTAACTTCAACACACGCTTAATCTCTAAAACACACTCGGCTTGCACAATACACTACTAACATACGAGCAAATTTATGCTCCAACACATACCCAACTTGCGCAATACACTACCAACATACGAGTAGGAGAGGCGTTAGGTCCAGTCCCAAGAAATTGATGAAAGGTTTGTGACTCAGTCATCAAATTGAACTACGTCTACGAGTGGAGGAGAAGCAGAATTTCACTATATAAAAGAGCTGGGTACAAAAACTTTAAAACTCAATAGAGCCCAAAATATTTTACTACAAAATGTTTAATGATCCAAAAGCCTAAATAACCCACTAAAAACTCCCTTGATTTGGTGAACTTCTCACCAAAGACGCGCTCCATTTATAACCAACAAAGAGGAAAACTCCTTAGTAAAACAACTAATGTGGGACAAAACCACACATAACAAGTGGACAATATATACTAATTGGAGTTAATTAGTAATTGTAGAGTTCAGGTCAAAGTGTCTAAAAGAAAAGTTTGAGGTACAATATAGAGTAATTGATACTGTCGAGGTGTATTGAGGCCAAAACAAATTTTGATGGTGGAAACTGCGAATGCTTGAAACCAAAATTTGGAAATAATTTGTTCTATATATAGTGTACAAAAGTCCCTCAAGGAACATGAGAGAATTCGATTAGCAAGTAGCCTCCTTTCCTTGGTTCCTTTTGCCAAAAACGTTTCTTGTCTGCAGCAGACTAGACCATGAGCTCAAGTAAAACGCCCAGACCGTTATTATTAGTGTTGTATCCTGGAGTGTACTATGGAGCTTCTTTTCATTGTTGTTCGTTTTGAAGCGTGGACTTGTTTAGGTACTATATGGATTTTGTTGATGTTTTTTTTTTTCAAATAAATACTAACTTTTATTAGAACCAAAAGAGATTACATGACAGAAAGACCAAACAGTGGCAAGAAAGATAAAGCAGTTGCTCCTGTTCAACATCTTCCCGCACGGATACGGGGAACTCCATGGCAATCCAATCGTGCCTCCCCTCTGGCTTTGAATGGAAGGGCCGTGAGTGACTCAAACAACCGATGCTCTCCCAATTGTAGGGAAGCTAATGCATCCGCCACCGCATTGGCTTCTCGAAATACATGAAGGAGGGAAGCCTCCAGGTGTCCAATGTGGTGTCTGATCTCTCGCAAAACAGTGCACAGTGGCCACTTCGACAAGGCTTCCGAACCCACGAGCTGCACTAGTACACTTGAGTTCGATTCCACAATCACTGAGCTAACACCTCGCTCCATGCACAATTGGAGACCGAACAGAAGGGATCGGGCTTCCGCTGCTAGCACATCCAAGTCCCCAAACTCCTTATAGTACGCCCAGACCACCCTCCCCCAGTGGTCGCGCAAGACCCCTCCACCAGTCGCCTCACCATTGATTACACTAGCATCAAAGTTGAGCTTGAGCCAGCCCATCGGTGGCTTTTCCCAAGAGACCAGCATCGCCCCCATATCTCGCCTTGTGGGGTTGCAGAGGCTCGCCCACGGGCAGTCCTGATCACCTGCAAAAGAGGGCCTCGCGAAAGCACAAGCCCAACCCATCTGTCCCAAAAACTTTTCTATCTGAGAGATCACCTGAGTTGGGGTAAAAATGCTTGCTTGAAACCTTGCCAAGTTCCTACTCTTCCAGATGAACCAGAGAACCAATAGGGGAACCAGAACCCGCACATGTACTGCCGAAACCTTGGAGTGAGAGAGAAACCAGTGCGACAACATCGAAGCTACACTACTCGAGTTAGCCGGAAATAATCCGAAGGTCTTGAGAAAATGCTCCCGTACTGCTTTTGCCACCGTGCCATGCAGGAAAATGTGAGAAACTGTCTCCTGCGACTGCAGGCAGCAATTACACCGAGAGACTAACGTTACTCCCTTGCCCTGCAGAATACAATCAAGAGGGAGCCACCGCCGCAGCAATCGCCATGCGAAGAAGGAAACTTTCAGCGGCACCACTGGACCCCACACATAGTGGTCAACCAGAGAGATACTACGCTTAGGCTGAATTGCCTCCAATGCCGAGGACACGGAGAAATTCCCGTTAGGCGACAGAACCCAAACCATCACGTCATCCTGCTCCAGGGAAAAATGGATGGTAGTGATCCGTTGAACCACGGCTTCTGGTACCCACTCCCTCAACCTCGGAACGTTCCACCCTTGAAATGTAAAAAACTCACCCACTAGGAAATGGGGAGGATCCGACACACCCAGTTCCTGTGCCAGAGGGAGGTCGCCACACCAGGCATCATACCAGAAATCGACGAATCCCTTCCCTAAGCACCATCGTATCTGTGACTCCGCAAACTCCCGAACAGCTAGCAGGCGCCTCCACGAAGCCGGGGGCCGATCCACCGCCGTGATCGAAGGGTGCATGCCCTTGATATACTTTTTATGAATAAAATCTGCCCATAGTGAGTCGTTCTTACGTAGTTGCCACCAGAACTTGCAAGCAAAGGCCCTAGCAGAGTCCTGAAAGGAGCGAACTCCTAAACCACCTTCCTGCACCGGGAAACACAACTTTTCTCACGCCGCCCAATGCACCCTCCGCGACTCTACATTTGAATCCCATAGAAAGGAGTTGCAAATCCTGCCCATAGCCACCAAGACGGATTTTGGGGGACAAAGCGCTTGTAATAAAAATAGGGGAAGCGAGCTAAGCATGTGCCTGAGGAGGATAACCTTATCCCCCATACTCAGAAGTTTCGAGCTCCAATGGAAGAGACGTGTACGTAGGTTTGCTAGGAGGGGGTCGAAGATTACCACCCCCATTCTCCCACGGGCAAGGGGCACCCCTAGATATTTCAATGGGAAGCATTGCTTGTGAAACCCCAATGTCGAACCCACAAGACTGTCTAGATCTGCAGGGAGGCTAGAGGATGAGAGGAAGGCGCTCTTCCCGATGTTTACCTTTTATCCGGAGTGCTGCTGGTAAAGTAGGAGAAAGTCACGTAGTGCCAGCAAGCAAGTTTCCGAGCACCGAGTGAATATAATCATATCGTTAGCAAAAGCAAGGTAAGGTACTCTGCCCCTGGCCGAAACATAGCCCATGTCCGCTTGGTTATGGCAAAGCATTTGAAGACCCCGACCAAGAAATTCAGCGACAACCAAGAAAAGGGCAGGCGACAGCGGATCTCCCTGACGCACTCCCCTGCTAGACTTCAAGAAACCCGATGATTGGCCGTTGACCAATACAGAAAACCACGAGGTAGATAACGTCCTAAAGAGGAGATTTACTGCGAATTCCGACAAGCCATAGCTACGAAGCATGAAAAGAAGGAAAGACCACTTAACTCTGTCATACGCTTTTTCCATGTCGAGCTTGATAATCAGATTCGGATATGTGAGTCGTCTATCCAAATCCAGCAGCAGTTCTTGCGCCAGTAGAATATTATCCATGATCCCCCTCCCAGGTACGAAGCCTGTTTGCCAAGGGGAAATTAGTCTTGGCAGCAAGTGCCCCAAACGATTGGCCAGTATTTTTGAAATGATCTTTGAGCTCATATTGTAAGGGCTGATAGGTCTAAAATTCTTCCACTGGAAAGCCCCCTCCACTTTTGGAATCAATACTATCAATGCACTGGAAATCCCCCGAGGTTGTTCGACCCCCATAAAGAAGTCATGAACAGCTGCCAAGAGATCATCCTTGATTGTCTCCCAACAGTGTTGATAGAAACCTGCCTCGAACCCATCCGGCCCCGGGGCACTATTAGCATCCATAGAGAAGACCACCGAGCGAAGCTCGTCCATCCCGAGCAGTTCCCGAAGTTTTGCATCCTCCTCCGTGGTGATCCTCGGTAGTTCAAAAGGCAGCGTGGGAGGTGAAACAAATCCAGTCGACTGAAACAACTCCGAAAAAAACCTCACCGCGGAGTCCTGTATATCGGCAGCATCGTGGAGCCAGCTCAAAGCATCGTCTTTCATGCGAGAGATGAAGTTGGAGTTTCTACGTTGTTTGACCACCGAATGGAAAAAGGAGGTGTTAGCATCCCCCTCCCTGATCCAACGGACAGCCGCCTTTTGACGCCAGAACTCATATTCCATAGAGAGCTCTCACAGATACACGGCTTGTGCCTCACGTAGACGGATTCGAGCGGGTTCATCGCCGTGGGAGTCGAACTCCTCCTCCTTTAGTTTGTAAATGTCCGCTGCTCTCTGTACCCGATCAAAAATATTCCCAAACACCTCCGTACTCCATCTTCGTAGCTTAGCCCGCAGTGAATGTAGCTTGGAATGAAATAGTGCCATCCCTACCCCTGATCCTGACGCTCGCCAGTCCGCCGAGACAGTCTCCAAGAAGGAAGGGTGACAACGCCACATGTTGAGAAACCGGAAGGAAGAAGGAACCACAGACCCCACCCTGGCATTGATTAAGAAAGGCGAGTGGTCTGACCGTCCACGAAGGAGATGGGACACATTGGTAAATGTATAAGCCACTGCCCATAGGCAGTTCACCAGGGCCCTGTCCAGGCGCTGCCAGAGAGTACCATTCGTCCAAGTAAACGGGCTATCGTCAAAGTCAACAGAGGAGAGACCGCAAGTGTACATAACAGTATTAAATTCATCCATGTTAGTGGCATTAACTGGCAATCCCCCTTTGCGCTTGTCCGCAGACGAAACCACATTGAAATCCCCGGCTACGATCCACGGCTCACCCCTGCCCGCATCGAATGCCTCGAGGGCCTGCCATAAGGGGCGTCGGCCTACTCTAGTGCATTTGGCATAGACCGCGGAGACATTAACAACGGCGCCCGACTGAAAGGAAAGCCTCGCATGGACTACTTGACCCTCCCCTTCCAAGAAAGAGAGCTTAAAGTCCCTACTCCAAAGAAATCATGCCTTGCCGTTTAAGAAAGAGGCCCCGTGATCGAGCTTAAGGCATCTTCGTACCACCTCTAGTTGCCTTAAGTCAGACATGGGTTCTAACAGAATAATCAGAGAAATTCTATGATCCAAGTAAAGCTTGTGCAGATACTTTATAGAGTCAGGGTGAGAGGCACCCCGAATATTCCACACGATGAAACTAATTGGATTTAGCATGAGATCTCAGAAGGTACTTAGCCTGCGACGACGGAGCCACATGGTTGCATCTGCCCTTGGGTCTCCCCATCATCCTTTTGATTTCAGCATTATGCTTACCCATCCCTAGCTGGTCAGAGGTCGGCAAATCTTCACCCTCCACTGGAACACATTGCCCCTCCTAACACTCTCGAGCCAACTCCGCATGGAACTGACGCAACTCCTCAAGAGTCGCACTCAATTCCTCTAGGTTCCCCTAAGACAGCCTGCGTCCCCAAGAAGCTTTCTTTGCCCGACGCGGAGAGGAGAAGGACGTGGAGGTCCGAACAAAGCAGGCCCCTGGCAGCACCTCCTCAAAGCTCTCCGCCAGATCTTGGAGAGCCTCAAAACGATTACCTACGGAGAGCTCCCTTGCCTCCACCTCCTCGGGAGGAGCCTGATGGGTCGTTGAACTGTGAGTAGGAGGCACAACCAGCAAACGCCCCTCACCCACCGCTACTTCCAGATCATCCGTCCGTGAGCCAAGATGCACTCCCAAATGCGTTGTGGAATTATGGCCACCCTTGTCTGCATGAGGAGCCCGCTCCTCCATTTGGGCTTGTGCCACAATGTCCAGAGGCAGCGACACCTCGGGGGAAGGCACAACCGTTATGGGCTCCTGGACATTGCGCTCCTCAAAAGCCATATGCCCTTCGGATTGCCTGAGTTGCTGATGGAGCGCATCAGCCCCGGTCAAGATTTTTGGGACATACTCCTTGCGGCTCGCGGATGGAGCCGCGACGGGCGCAAACTTGGGTGGACGAAGCGAAGGATGCTTTCTGAAGCACTCCTCGTCCGCATGGCCGAACCTGTTGCAAAAGGTGCAGAACGCAGGCCAGCCCTCAAACACTACTAGTTGCCAAAAACCGAACTCCTCATCCCCAATCCAGACACGCTTGATGGGAGGCTTGGAGACATCCATCTCGACGAGAATTCGAGCCACCGAAGGCCTTCGGAGGTCAGCCGTCGCCACATCGATGCACAACAAATGTCCCAACGTCTCGACCAGTTTGGACAGTTGCACCTTATGGAAGAAAGGGATGGGTAATTCAGGGAACGTGACCCACACAGGAGCAACCGCAATCTCCTTGTTTGCCTTGAAGTCCAATGACCACTTGGAGATTGTCATGGCCGACCCATGGACGTACCAGAAGCGCCTAACGAACAGGCGCGTATAGTCTTCCTGAAGCGACGGTCGGATAAGCACATGATTCTGATCAAGAAGACCTATTGAGCAGTCACCTTTCAAGCCTAGGGAGATGAAGAACTTGCGGATGAGATCCATTGATGGGCGGATGAAACCAAATCTGCCCACTAGTGCGTTATGGAATGGTTCCGCTAAGCGTAGCATGCCTTCCTGCGACATCCGCAAGGCTGGTTCCCCTCCAAAGGAGGAGACAGTACCAACCTCTGAATCGGCATCTGGTGTGGCAGAACCAGACGCCGCGACTGCCGCCGCAAAGCTCTTGGGAGCGTGGGAGGTGGCGCCGTCCAGAGCAACGGCCATCTGCGGGCAGCCTGGCGGTGAAGCCGCCATGGCCGACAGAGTCCCCTAGCAGCCTCTACGGAGATCTCAAACCCTACTCGCCTAGAGCTTTCCTCAAACCTAAGGCCTGCTTAATATGTTTGTTGATGTTAGTAGACCGGGAATGGGGCAAGAACAACTATTAGTAAAACCATTTTTGAACGATATAAAAATGGTTCAACAAGTTATAACTCATTATTAACTGTTTGTACGCTTTCATAATAGAGATGTTATAATAATTTATTGTTCATATGGATCATATATACTAGTTATGTTAGAATTATGTAACATTATTTGAACCTTACATTTCGAATTTTTGCTATGCTAGCAAAATTCTATTGCCACTAAACCGCCTATGCCCTTGCTCTAGGAAACCTAGTCTGAATTTGTGGCTCAAACATTCAGCCAATGCAACTTTGCTTCTCGTGAATTCAATTGAACCACCATGGCCTCAATATTATTGTTGTCGTGTTTCATGAGGAATGAACTAATTAAATCACAACCGGGGTAGCTATTGCTTTTTTACTTTTAAAATTGAGTAAAAACATTTTCTCACATAAAAAGGGGAAAAATTGCATTCGAGAAAAAGGTTTTGTACTTTAGTGGTTAATTTCTTAACGGTTTCATACCATTGAATGTTTAGTTAATTAAAAGTGTAATTTCATTTCAGTGTATTATAAAAGTGTAAGATTTGTAACCACTTAAAATGGGAAATAAACACAATTGCGGAGGCCCAAATCTAGCAGCCTCTTCTCCTTTTAGCAAGTGGTGATTAGTTACCAGAATCGATGTT